CTATACATTACATACGTACTGTATTATGTGTAGAACTTGGTTATGTACAAGATAAAAATAATGCTGTTTGTCTGTATTTTACGTAATAACAAAAACAAACAAAAAATGATTCGCGACACGTAACCAGTTGCGCACGCAGAGAGGTGAGAATTTCACTCTATCCTGTTGGCAAACTGGGCTTTGTAGCCGGCGGATTTCGCTATGTAAAATTCCGTCCCAAGCTGACTTGGGCTTAGGCTCAATAACTGGGCTTAATACGCGGCTGGGCTTATTAACCGTGGGCTTAATAACCGGCGACCTACTCTAATAGCTAAAAGCTCGGACACATGTTTTGCCGATATCCTGCCGCTGCGTGGCACAGCTATGACGGGTTCGGGTCTTATTTTAAAGATTTTGATATAAGCGTCGAACACAATCTACATTTGTGTACTAGGTACGCTAAAAAAACTGCTTTTGCGCCCCTCTTGTTGTGTTTTTTTTCCTTGGGGAGTCCCACAAGGCATAATTAGATGGTGATATCTCGGCTCTTGGGCAACATTCACAACACGCAGCCCCAGTTCATTCGACATGTTTGACTTAAGGTCTTCCGCGCATCCTAAGCATTTTTACGCGCCCGCCGATGGTGACGAAATCGAGCCAACAAAACAGAGTCATGGGGGTGGGGGGAGGAGGCATATAGAGTACGTCACACTTGGAGGAAAAATAAGTGTACAGCGGCAGGTACAAATGCATCTTGGACTCAGAAAGGCGAGAAGTAAAGACAAGGAATCAACAGGTCGTTTATTCTGAGTAACAGAGATAGATCAGTTGGGCTGCCTGACATGTTTCTTTTCTTCTTTTTTTCCATATTCGTGGGTGCATATTCATACAGACCCGCGCGTTCTGGGTTCCTCGCCTGTGTTCCGGTTATTGGAAATTGAGTGTCCTAGGGGAGGGGGGCGGGGGCGGTATAGGAAGACCCAGGAGCGAAAAAAAGACAGATTGACTACCTCTATACCACGAGAAGACACAGCCAAAACTAGTGAAACCTGGTGGCGACTCAGAGTGGTGGTGAAACGTTAGGAAGATCACATGAGTGTCTGTGTGTGTAGGGGGCGAGAGGGACGGGAACAAAGATAAAAAAGAAGAAGGGGAAAACGGGAACTGGGAAAGAAAGCGAACAAGGTAAGGGATCAGGGCGCGGACGGCGGCGGTTGCGGCGCGCATAGAGGACTGAGGAGAAGATGCGATAGCCCAGTTTTACCTTCCCGCGTACAATGCATGAGGGGTGGCTGGCGAGGTCACCTTGGGGCGGGTTAGAACATGCCAAAGCCCTTGGAGTAGGCTATCGCAGTTAGTAGACAACGTTCTAGTTTCTCCTTGGAAGAATACTCGGGGAGAAGGAGGATGTTGAAACAGGTGTGAGCGGAAGGCAGCCTGGAGGAAAGAATGCACGATTGGAGAGAGTATGTGGGTGGTGTGACATGAAAAACCTCATTCAGCAGAATGAGGGTGATATATTGATAGTTGAAGATCACAAAGGCTAAACAGTAAGGCCAAGACCTCACGAAGAGACAAAACAGTGCCAGGGATCAGAGATGCGTAAGAATTTATTCAATTACTATTCAAACCAAAAAGGAATCAGATTAAAATGATGACTATCGGTACAAGCCTTCATCGGAAAAATTTGGAAAAAAGCTTGTTAGTGGTCTGAATAGAAATGTCTCCGATTAGTGCTGGACTATACTCCGCCGAGTATACCATTATCTCAGAAAAGCAATGGTCGTTACCACCATGAAAGGGTCGCTGAGATTTTGGAAATATACTCAGCCAGAACGGGTTAGTAGACAAGCAACTACATTCAGTGACCCGTCTCATGCAATCCTAGTCGAAATTCTGAAACATTTCTTTGATCAGCTGAGTGGGGTGTTGTTGTACAGATTATCGCGCAGCATGATCTCAAGATACCTCAGACACCAGGATGCCGGCTTTGGAATGCACCTTTTTGGGTCGCCTGCAGTCGAGGAGCACAAAGGCTAAACAGTATGGTCAAGACGCCATGAAGCGCCAAAACAGTGCCAGGGGTCAGAGGTGGGTACGCTTCATTGAAGTAATATGCAAACCAAACCACCACAAAAGGATCGCTGAGATTTTGGAAATGTACTCACCCAGCAGCTAGAACTGGCTAATAGAATAGTGACTGCCTTCAACGTTAAGCTTTCCGCGTAACGAAAATCATGTATTTCGCTGCGTCATTAAGAAGGTACCAAATAGGGTTCATAAATGTTTGCAATGCGCGTGGGCTTTGTTGTATGAGGAGCCGACAGATACGATACTATTTGAACAGAAGTTGTATGGTCTTTAAAGATGTAATAACTAGAAACGTTTTTTTAAAAAAACGGACAGACATCCTTGCCTTGATTAGACAAATTGAAACAAGGCATGATTTTCTACCAAATAAGTACAAAAAGAGTATTTTTGGCATATTTTCCACAAAATATATTTGAATTAGTAGGGGTATCGAAAAGCAGTAAGGAAAAATTGTGTTTCTAAAATAGTGATTCTCTTTGCCAAGTGTGGTTTTCGCAGGCGACCCAGAAGCAGAACATCCTCGCGTGTCTGAAATATCTTACAACTATGCAGTATGATAACCAGTATCACAGACCTACTTAAGTTATCCTTTCTAATGGAAGACGTAGTTCCGAAATTTGATTAGCATTTTCATGAGATCGGTCTCTGATCGTATAACGGGGTAAAGGCAGGGTTATAGAGGCATAAAGTGGCCGACGCGGGAAGTGGGTAAAATTTCCGTTCGTTGTAAAGGATACTAGCACGTATAAAGTACGTATTTGAAGGGAAGGAAGGCCCAAGTAGGAAAGGTAATCAATCCCACGAAAGGTAAGTTTGTCTAGCCTTTTGCCCGGGACACAACTAGCGCGTAAATCTCTGTCGAGAAAAATGATAAATTGGACAATAGTGAAGAACCGCCAAAACTTTTTGTGAAAAATCTGCGGGAAATGTAAGCAAACAAAAAACTATTGATTATAGCAGCGAGTGGATGCAATAGCAGGAGCTATGCAACAGTAACCGCTCGCCCAAAGATTTGCTGAGACAGACCTGTCACTGGAGACGATAAAAAACGAGTAAGGCCCTTGATGAGGGACGAGCCATATGACATTCGGGGAGCACATCTGCGAACAGTTAAGGAAGCTACCTATCGTTCTCTCAAGTTCTGATAAGTAAGTTGGTGAAGGCCCGATAAAGTTGACAGACTTGGCATGATTTTGCAAGAGGACTTTAAAGGACACAAGAGAGCCTCGCGTGACTAAAACAGGAGAAATGGTGGTCATTCGTATCAGCATACTTCTAGTAACATAATGGAGGGCAGCTTGAGGTTCGTAGCGCGCGAGATGAACCGGCTCCAGTCAGTTTAGTGACGAAATGAGATTGTACGCCTAGCATTTACTTCATAGCTCACCAACTTCCGTTAAGCTGCAAACTGTACTTGCAAAAAGGCAAATAGACTCCAGTGTGCGGGAAGTAAATGGCACCCTAGGCTGTGCGCAACTAAATCCACCAAAGTGATTCATAAACTATAGGAGGAATCAGAGGAAAAAAGAATTGATACAAATCGCCCTACGCCAACCGCTCCTGAACGGAAGCAAATGTAAAACAGGCGACTGGGTCCATAGCAAAACTGCCCACGACGATGGTTACAAAATAAGTTGGACATGTTCTTGTATTGCAACATATCACAGAAAAGAAAGGTAGAAATGGTTCAGACGCGTAGAAGTAAACAAAAGCGAGACTAACCGATCGGAGTCAGGTCCTTGCCGCGCGATTACAAACTTCAGCTTGGACATGCCACCGAGGGGGATTCGATCCGAGCCAGTGGTAAATTGTAACAACTGACGTTGTTTGTCTTCGGGAAGATTGTGCACCACTTCCCAGAAACTTTTTATTATGGGAGTTTCGGCCGTGTAATCACCTTCATACTCTGTAACACGTTCCAACTCACTGAAGTCGTAATCCTAAAAGCAGGTAAATGATTTTAGTAAACGGCACGGGCGTCAAGCGGGCGAATGTAAAGAGACTTGCATGGGCTACGCAAACCGAAAGCCTAAAGGCAAAACATTACTTTCGTATTGCTTTCTACGATCAAGTCAGATTGCTGAGCGCATTTTCTACAAAATTATGAATCTAAATTTTGGGAGCTGGCGGCGATAGGCGAGTTGCAGAAAAGAGACACAATTACTGGAACAGATTTATTTGCTCAAAATTTCGGGTTCACATCCGAATCCATCACCAGAGACGGAATAAGACGGGGTAATGAGTTGCATAGATGTTGTAATTTTGGTAGGCATTCGGTGGCATAGAAACTACCTCTTATAAATACTGAACACCTGTGCGATCCACTACTCCACCTGAATGTGTCCCTGATGATGAAGTGGAGGGTGAATTCGAAACGTCAGGCAGTTCCAGTAACTGTGCCTCCTTTCCTGCAGTCGACAGTGTTAGCTTGGGATCCTTCTGATAGAGCTTACGTCTCAATGAACAAGACAGACCACGGGTCTTTTCGGTCTAGGGTCGGGGTATGGCTTGTTAACGATAGGAAAATAAAGTAGACATGTCTATTTTAGCCTACCCTGTCTCCTCATCCATTATGTCACTCATAAAGCAACCTTGCCCTGGAACTCCAGATTGGAGCTCAAAGAAAAAGAAAACGCGCCGTCCATAGGTCAGCAGTTAACCAACACACGTGCATGTTAATCTTATCATTGCAAATACACTTTTCAGTCACACTACAGGAGCTAAATAAATGAAAGACGTACCTGGCTGCCTCGGACCAAGAGCTCGATTTCCTTGGGGGTGAATAGGAAGGTGAGAGGACTTTCATCGATAACCAAGTTAAAACCCTTGCGAAAAGCTGAGAATTGGCGCTTGATAGAAGTGTTGAGCATATAATCGGCGGTCAAGTCGACGAACTCCTGTAAGAAGTAGAGGAAATAATAAATTAAGCAAAACAGACGTAAGTGGAAAAACTTGGCAAAACAAAATGATCAGGTAAAACATCAGTAGGACGAATAATCACACCATACAATCTAATGAAGCTGTCAATAAAGTATCAGAAAAATATCAATAACGAACGAAAAATTATCAAAAAGAAGGAAGAAAGCCTAATGGCTCTGGGCAAGAAAGGCCTAGAAAAGTCGAATGAAGTTGGCAAGTTTGCATTAAAAAGCCACATTATTCAGGACGTTAAAGGACATATTTTGAAGCCCCTACCTGCAAAGTTGAAAGAGTACAGTTAGCAGGCAAGCAGCTATAAGAACCGAACCTCAATCGGTTAACAGAATACTGCTAAGCGTAACCTACAGCCGATTGGGCAGTTTTTATGTAACTATAGGGTGTACAGAAGTCACATACGAGAAAAAACGAAACAGCGGAATCTGTTCAATGATTTCATATACAACAAACCAGTTCAGACAAAGGGGAGTAGTTCCCACGGATGTGTCTACGAATGTTCTCGAAAAGAGGTGGACGACAACGTTAACATTCTGCAGCATCTTTTCTCTGCTGTAACATTTTGTCCGTCGCAAGCGAAGAGAGGGTACGGTGGTGACTTATGTGAGATCTACCCTCAATCACTCCTTACGTCCATAGGCAGATAAAGACGACTGGATGACTCCCGAAAGAAGTATTGAATCCCTCAGAAGAAGAATTACTATATAAGCAACAGTTGTTACTAGACCGTCAATCGGGAAAAACATCAAGCTAGCTAGTCAATTGGCAACCTTTAATGCCAAAAATATTAGCTGCTTAGGTGGGTTTATAAAGAGGGCACTAAAGGAAGAGATGGAGGCCCATTAATAATATAATTTCTGTCTCATGTTTAATTGCACAAGTATTAATCAAAGGTCCAGACGCGTATATCACCGATATTCTACATCTGCATACCACAGCTGCGAAATGTTTAGATCATAAGTAAGCCCTCAACCTTCCTTTCCTCCAGTTTGAAAATGTCGACTTTTTAACTTCCTCAGAAACTAAGCGCCACATCAGTCGGATTTTTCATCTACGCCTTCACTTGCTCTCACTAGGTACAGTTCTGCGAGTGCTGCAAGCAAATTTCCTAAATTTGTAAATGTT